TTGAGCGAGGTCGTACTGTAGTTAACCTCGACATAATTAAACTTCTCTTAACGCAACAAAGTTGTTTAATCTCTACTCTAAATTACTGTACTTTTTATATTGCCACGATTTTCCTTTTAAATTTATTCCTCAATTTTAGAAATTAATTAACTTATTTGTTTAAGGCACAATGAGCCAAGAGAACGCATACATTTAAGAATATTGCAGTCTCTTTTAGCCCATTTTGACTGTAGTTTCTCATTATTAATTGGTAAACATTGTCTGGGGAGCATATAAAAAGGGTAAAATTAAAATCTTAGCCATGAAAATTGTGTAAAAGGCAGCAAAGAAATGAAAATGCCGTAAAAGTTCACGACTAATTGGGAAAAGGATTCGGGACCTAGCTTAAGCATATAGTTGTAAATAAATGAATGAGTGGAGAAAAAAAATATTTTATAATTAGCATATTATGCAAATTATCATAATCTGACAAGAGCACAAAAGCCGGAACAGCCTGAGTCGAACGACTGAGATACAGGAATCAAAGGAAATGACGGAGTGTGGACAGAAAGTCAAAGGATTATGGCTGGGCTGACATGACTGTTTATGCCATTCAATTAACATGCAGAACGCTCCATTTAACCAAGAAGTTTGCTGCCTGATAAGCACAAAATGGCATGCCCTCATAAGTATGCAATACTTTTGCTGTTTGCTCAGCTGCTGAGCTGCTGCCAACCTCGGTCGAACCTCAAGAGCACACAGGCGCCTTAGAGCATAATGTTAAATGATTGCCTTGTTGTAATTAAAACTTTTGTCAATGTTGACAGTGTGGGTACTTACTTGGCTCCTTTGCAAATTGATGAGGCAGCCTCAGCCTCAGCAAATAGCCAAAAGCTTACGAAGCCCCCCACCCCCTAGAGTTAGCTGCGTGTGAGAGACCCCAAAAACGTTTGTGTTTAACTAAGGACAGTGTTTTTTTTTTGGCTATATCAACTGCAGCCGTGGCCCTTAGAATGGCATGGAAATGCCGAATTTGAATGTGCGCACACAGCCGGAAAAAAACGGCGAGGTGAATGGGGGCGGTGAGGGGGGAGGGCTACGGCTTATGGTTGTCAGGGCCGGGGATTGCACATGCAATCGACAGGCGGCGTTGCGGGTGGCGCCAAGTTCGCTACACTCGCTAATTTGTAACTGGGATGCGGTTGACTGCGAAATGCATACCAACAGCCTGTCGGGCTCAGTTACTGTGGCACGTACCGGGCGGCGTGCTGAAGCCATTCGAAGTTGAGCTGTGCGGCGGTCTGATATTATTATGCAAAGCACACAGTGCGGATCTCGGGCCGAGTTCTGGCATGGCCTGTACTTTATTTTACTGCTTGTAAATAATTCGTTTTATTTGGCACTCATCACGCGCGCTGATTGATTGATTGGTAGATTGATTGCCGCCAATGGCAGGCCTTCAATTAAATTAAAACATTAACCAAAAAAAACGCGAAAACGCTTAACATTTTGTTGGTGCATATGTTAACGATTAAATAAATTTAAAAACAAATACGAACCCGCGCGTGGCTCTTCAATATTTCTACCGCCGCGCAGTTCACTTAATTATAATTATGATTGATATTCTGTGCATTGTTATTGCTGTCCTTCCACATGGTTATTTCCATAAGTGCTTTTCTTGATTGCTGATTGCAGCTCAATTTGTGTGCTACAAGAAATTGCATGCCAGTTGTTATTTGTATATGGGTGCAACGGGGCGTATGCGCAATCCAAAAATATAATTAGGAATTTCAACAGCATGGCACGGCGCGCATTCTTTCATCAAATTCCGGCGAATGCAAAATCGCATACAATTTCAAGAGTGCCGCCTGCTGCAACCCTGCGTATGCGCAATGTGCATCGCGTAAATGGAAACTGTGCCTAATGAGCTTTATTTAATTATGGCTGCTTAGCGTTTCAATGGGCGTGAATGGGCGTGACAGGGCAAAAATGAAGAAAATTTCAGTGTTAAGGGCTAAATAGAAATATCATATTGAAAGACTTTGTTATTTGACGAGGCAAAATGTACGTATACTTAATGTTGAATATAATTTGATTTGTAATCTAAAGATTTCCATAATTTTTAAGAACAGCTTCAGTTATCAATCGACAAGTGTCTTAATTATAGCCAAAATTTAAGTAATTTAAGTTGAATTGAATTTACATATTTACAACAACTCAAACAGTTCGATGCGAAATATAAATCTGTCAGCTCGTCTGGCCAATCGGTTGCCGCTGCTCTACAATAATGCCGAGCAGCACTTGCAACTTAATTTGTATATTTAATTATTTTTAAATTAACAGTTTAATTGATTTATATGCAACAACAACATCATTTACGGTTTACCAAAATGGCATTCGTTATTCGTCCAGAGAGCGAAACTTCTTGGCCATAAAAGCGCACTGCGGCTGTCATGTAAATCATTGGCAATTTAATTGAAAAGATTAAATATTAAAAATATCAATATTTAATTTATTACAGCACAGACGCTGCCCCGGGCACTGACATCAGCAGAGACGTCAGCTTAACTGTATTAATTTGATGTAAATATATATATATATATATATATCCATACATATATATCAATATTTTTATCATTTAATAAAAATGCTGCACATTTGTCCTACTAAACTGACATGTTGTTAAATACAAGATGTGATAGGAAAATGTTCGTTACTTTTTGTTTAAGATTTGAAATTGATGAGGAAAACGGAGAATTGGGGGAATCTTAACATATTTATTTATATGTACAAATATTAAGTAATGCAGATGTCTTGAAAAGGAAAGGTAGCCAGTGTAAAATAAGCTAGCCAAGCCTCTTTCTGCGCCGGAGTCCCTCTCTCTACACAATTTACACAGCTGACATGCCAGCAACCAGCTCGGTTACAGCAGTGGACAGGGAGGATGTCCTTATAGCTAGGTATGCAGATGACAGTGCTGTGATAATTAGGAGTCCTCTAATGGGCACTCCCACAGAGGCGTTACAGGAATACATGGGCAGCTTCGAAACATGGGCCTTGGAATGGAGCACCAGCGTCAATAGTAGCAAATATGCAATGTTCCGTTTGCTTGGCTCTACATTAAAACATGAACCCACGCACAAATATCTGGGCAAGATTCTTAGAAGGATCTCTAATGATCCTTGGTATATGCTTACTTGACATATCGAGAGGGACCTAAGAGTTTCCAAAGTAGAAGAACGATTCTTTGAGCGCCTTCGCACCCATTCCAACCCGCTTGCAAGGCGCCTTGCTTCCCCTGGTAGAAGACAAATTAGGTGCCTCATTACTGGAGCTTGGCTCTCTAGGACAAGAAAGAGAAGTCTCAAACGGTGTCAACTACAGGATCCTGCTACTATTCTCTAAACCAAATGCATAATAAAACTTTTATTTAGCCTGAAGATCAGCAAGGCATGTTATATTTTTTCCCCTCAAATATAACTAGCTTAAATTTGGCAATGTTAGGTAGAAGTAATCTTGTGAATCATGAAATATATATAAATTGTTACGCAAAAGAAATACTCTTTTAGTAGCATCCAAATAATAATAATATAATTCAATATTCAACTTAGTTAAAGTTTGCACACGTATTGTTTACGCAAATACCTCAATCATATGCTAACACAGGTAGCCCAAAAATTCTTACCAAATACTTATAATCGAGTATATACACTTCGTTGCGCTTCAATAAATATTTAGATATTCATTTTATTGCTTATCGAAAACAAAAGAAAAAGAAACGGAGCAGCAAAGTATAATCAAATAAAAAAATCTAAAAAGTTGCCAAGTTGATGCGACAGGCAATTTGCTGAATTATTAAAGATGCTTTTAGGGTAGGTAAAGTTGACGGGGCTCTAAGCGGAGCTAAGTAACTGTGGGTTAAGTGCAGCCGTTGCCACATGCGGCATGCTACAAATTTAATGAGAAGCGCCGCCAGTTAATGTGCATGTCCTTTGATTAGATTTTATGTAAATGCTGCTGCGGGCAGACAACGGGCAGACCGAAGACAGACGACTCAAGATTTACGCGCTGGCTAAGTTGCATCGTAAAACAGTGAGCCAAATATCAAATAAATATGTAATCAAGCGGCTGTGGCAGAAGTATGCCGCGCTTTTTCAATTTGATATAAATGTGGCACACGCTGGCTGCTGCGCTAGCACACACATCGGGGAGTCTCGGAGACTCAGAGTTTGGTGGGCCGCTGACTGATTGTGTGACGTCGAGTCTTGCTTTTGCCCCAAGGTGAACCAAATAATGTGGTTTAAAGACGACACAAATGCCGTTACTGTTGTCCCCGAAGCAGCTCCCAATTGGCAGAGGCTACGCAACCTTGGCAACAGTTCAAGGTGTTGCCACCCGTACTTCCGGGAGCTGTGCGGTTTAATTAATTAAAGGTGTTAAGGTAAAATAAAGAGACGCACTTTGGGAACGGCAACAGCTTCTCCTGTGTGCGTGTGTGTGTGTGTGTGTGGCCTAGAGATCGTGTCTTTTGGGTGCGTATTATTAAGCATTAGCAATGTCATTGTTAATTACGACTAGATGTTAGAAAAATACATGACAATATTTTTATCTGGGAGTAAATTATGAGAAAAAATCATATGTTAAAGAATACTGAAGAAAATGTTAGTAGAAGGCAGCTTTTTATATTTACTTCGTATTAGGCTGAAATCAAACAAATATCTGTGTGTGTATCTGTATCTGTTTGTGTGTCCGTATCTGTATCTGTATTTGTATCTGTATCTATATTTGTATCTGTAGATGTATCTGTATCTGACATATCTTTTGGCAATTAATTTAAACATTCATTTAATGTATGTGATTGCAATTTCGATCAATCAAGCAATCGTTTCGATCTAGCGTATTTGATAAGTATAGAAAAAAAGTCTATGCATCAATTTTCTAAATAATTTCTTTGGCAAATTAGCTGTTTGAGATAAACATGTGCAGTATTTCAATTGGGAATGCATTCACTCAGTGCTTACCTGAAGATTTCAATTATTCGTGTTTGGAATTGTTATTTGGCTTTGAAATGGAATTTGGCCAAACAATTTGTTGATTATTTTACGGTTTGCTGCTGTTGCTTCATAATTGTTTGTAATTTATTTATAAGACGAGAGTAATTCGTGCAATTTGGTTTAACATTGTGGCACGACTTACGGCTTGCATTGGCAAATTGTCACTTGATTGCATAGGTCAAAGGCCAAAACACACACACACAAGCACGTAATTGGATCAAAACAAATTGAAAGTGCAGTCTAGAATTTTGATACTCCGGTAGATCGTCTGGCTGGAAACACTTGCTGGCAATTCAAATGCCTCGGGGAGCAAATCAGTTTGAATTTGTTTTGGCCGAATGACAATTCTCAGTTGGCAGCTGCTTGTTAGGGTATCTGTCGCAATGGCTTAGTCTATTGCCTCAACTTTAAGTTTGTTGCGGCAACGGCATCGCAACACGTACGTAGACGTAGTAGTCACAGACACACACACACACACAGAGCGAGAGACACAGTCGGCAGAGAGGCAACTGTTCAGCACGCGTCCACACGTCTCGACGTTGAAAGCAGAACTGAACAAACAGCAGCTGCCGTCCTTAAACTTCAGCGCTACGCGACGACGGCGAGCCGAAGCAGTGCGACACGAACGCACGATTTCGGCGTCGGTTAAGCAGTGCTCGCTCGCTCGCTCGTTCTCTTTGTGTTTCTCTTGGCGCTTGGCGCTCTCTGGCAGTGCCAAACTGTTGATTCTTTTGGCTTAAAATCCCATGGCATGCAACGGTCTCTTTGCTCTGCTGGGCCATATTTGTTGTAATGTGACAAATTCTTGATAAAGAAGCGGCGTCAGAGTCGGCTAAACAAATTGCTTTGCTTGTCATCAAAACAGAGAGCGGCACCGCAATGCCTATGGCAATGAAAATGACAATTCATAAACACATTAGGCATTCATTGGAGTGGCATGTGGGAAAGTGAGTTGTTGCCTTTTTTTTTTGTATTCCTGATGTTGCAACACAATTATCTTTTGCCCGGTCTGCATGAAAGTGGAAAAACGGAAAGGCGAACGGGTCGATATATTTAAGTAAAAGTGAATCGACGGAAAGACGGCCAGACTGGCAAGTACAAAGGTATGTGCATGTGTGTCTGTGTGTGTGTGTGTGTGTGTGTGTGTGTGTGATGTAGGGGAGCAGGCGGCATACGATGAAACGAAAGTTTTTTGATTTGTGTCACATTTATTCCAAATGTAATGAGTTTTTTATGATGAACAAGTAGGAAACAGTTGTATTCGGAACTTTCTTGCTGGCATATTAATAAAATTACCCCAATGGCTGATGAACGATATAGTAATGTGATCTTAGTCATATTCACGTCAAAAAGCAGAGGGCCTGGCCTAATGCAAAGTCATCAAATCTCCTATGGGAACTGAATATATTTTGTTAATGTACATATACTTCAGAAAACCAATGGCAGTCTGTAGTTTTATTAATATAAATTACACAATTGTTAAAGTATTGCCCTTTTTTTAATATTCCTATGACAATAATTTCATTTAACAATTTATATTTCACATTATTTATCGTATCAACCCATTTGGCAATTAATTGTTTTCGTTTGTTTAACATTAAATACTGCATTAAAACCAATGAGAAATTCCAGCATATCTTCGCCCCGCCGGACTTAATACCTTTGTATACATTATCCCTTTTCAGATAAAGCTTGTATATGCTGAGTTTGATGAAAATATCTTTGAAAACATAATATTGCCGGTTTCGATATTTTTACTGCCTGCAACAGAAAGACGGACCTATGCAAAGTTTCAAGACGAAAGCCTTAAAACTGAGAGATTAGTTCGCATTGCAACAGACTGACGGGCAGATGGACAGACGGTCATGGCCGGATCAACTCGGCTGTAGATGCTCATCTAGAGTATATATACTATATGTCTTCATCTATGCGTTACACATTTCATGACAAAATTACAATACCTTCTCCAGGGGTAATCAAAAAAATGAACAAAGTTTACCAAATACCACGAAATGCTACAATTGTATAGAATTTTTTTCATTTCCTTTTTGTAGCTTAATTTTCAACATAATGAGAACTTTGTGTCAGCCCTCCATACAAATTTAAACAAAGGTTCTTCTGTTCCATATCCTTTTATATTCTGCTGTCAACATTTTTCCTGTTGCAGTTGTCCTGGCTGGCGCCAATTAAAGTTTTACTGCTAAGCTGCAAGCAACAGCAAAATTATACTTCCTGCAACACACATATTCCTGCCTTAAGACCAATACGAGACCAAATGACTGACTTCATGTGTCGAGGTTCCGTCTCTCCGTCCGCCTGTCCAGGTCCATGTTGGCAGCAGACAAGCCAAGATAAACTAAAGTGCACTTGCAGCAAGTGCAAAAACCCAGCCCGACACGAAAATAAGCAGCCAGACAATCAACAGGGAGAAGAGATCCAAGACTGAAACTGCAATTGGAATGTGGAATGTGGAGTGTGGAATGTGGGGTGCCTCATCTCAACTGGCTGGCGACAGTTTTTCTTCATAAACACACGTTTTAATTTTGCCCAACTGACATTCGGACTCATAACTTGCCAGCTCCTAAGTGTGATTCATATGTAGGTCGTTATTTTCGTCCTGGCTGACCAGCTGCTGGTCGTGTAGGCTCAAATTTATTTGCACTTTGCCAACGTTAACATAAATGGCATTAAAATAAACGTACATGCTATGCATATATCCGTATTACAGGCAATAATAATTTACATCTTATATATCTTATTTGTCCAGCAGCTGCACAGGGAAAACGAAACAGAAAATTAAAATGCCTGCAAGCCGCAAAATAAGAAAAAATTGCTTACGAATTGTCCTAACTACAAAAGGAAAATGCTCAAAAACTGGAACCGCAGAGGACGGCATACGAATAAAGAATAACTGACAGGGCGTAATACATTTGGGTTACAATTTTCAATCTACCATTTATTATGAACAGTTCAATGGCGTCGAAAAAATATAAATTTACATACATATAAAATGTAAATCTTGAACGTGTTCCAAGAAATATTTTCTCATATTTTTGCTCTTCATGCGAAATATAATCAATTTTGTGTATATTCAAATTATGCTTTTGATTTATTAAGTACCAAATGAAGTTTAATGGGCGTCAAAATATTGATATACGTACTATATATATATATATATATATATATATATTTTTTTTTTTATGAAAATGTGTATAGCTCATATAGAGAGAATTTTATCTCTGTTTTCCCCTACTTGCATTCTCCTTATATAAATAACAACATCTTGGAGCATGTCTTAATATCATGGCAAATTTTTGGAAACCCCATAAGAAATGTCAAATATTTAAAAAGAATCCATATAGTTTTCCTATATTTTTCCATTTGTCTAACTCAATAGTTCGTTGTTTTTGCTAGGAATGAGATTTTTGAAATTCCCAGTAGGAATAAACAAATGTAAAGCGCTGCAAATTACAAATGTTTCCACAGAAAGATCGATAGTTGAAACACATACCACAAACGTATATGAATGTATTTCTGTTTGTATGTATGTATGTGTGTGTGTATGTGATTATGTGTGAAAGCTCAATATTGTTGTCGTTGTTGCGACTGTGGTGTATGGCACAAATGAATCGACATCTTTGGCATAGTTTAGTGATATTTCCCGCTGGCAGCGGTGTCCTTTTGCGTCCCTCCTGTTTTTCACTGCATAATCTGTTTGGTCTACTCGCCCCTCGGCTTGTCAATTTGTCTGTGTGTTTTCTGCCAATGCATTGAACTAGAAATATGTAGATATGCCAATGAGTGTGCTCTCTGTCTCTGTCTCTATTTCTCTCCCTCTATCTCTCTCTCTCTCTGTATCTGTCTATTGCTTTCGCTGTTTCGTTTGAATTTTTCTTTGTGTTTTGTTTTGTGCAATGCGCAAAGAAGTAAGCATGACAAAATAATTTTGATTTGAAATACAAAGCGAATACATTTTCTACACTATACTACATATTTGCCAGCATGACATTAAGGAAATTGGAAACAAAATAATTGGTGTGACCGGTGCAAATTGCGTATACATTTTATTTATTTATGTAAAAGTTATATATTTTAACATGCACTTACCCATTTCATTTCTTGACATCTCATGAAGTATCCTTTAATAATTAGAACCAAGGAAGAGACATAAATGGGTGTGAGAGTAAGAAGGAGAGGTAAAGAGAGAAGAGCTTAGAGAATAAGAGAGGAGGAGCTTAAATAAAGTTTCTTAGGCAGCATGAGAACTAGAAAGCTTCAGTTTAATTCATGAGAATCGCATAGTAAGGCAATGTTAAAGTCAACTTGTAAACAAGACTTGTTTATGTTATACTTATAATTAAAGCATGATAACTTGTAGCCTTATCTTAAATCGTGAGAATCGCATAGAAGGGCAATGTAAAAGTAAGCTTTTTTTAAATTTGCAGCGCAGCGAGATGTTAATTTGGAATGTGTTTATTATAAAACAATATACATACATATAACAAGAAATATTATACTGCACTCTTTTATTTCTATTAGATAAATAACAAGCCCTCATTTGTCATGGTCAGATGTCAGTTCTCGGCCAATCTTTGCTTTACAAAATTTTCAGTTTTACTTTAATAAACGGTCGATTAAACGCTTTAAGAATATTAACTGTGGCTTGGCGCACACACGGCACGCAAAGGTCAGCTCCTAGTTGCCTGTCATAAAAGAACACAAATTACCTCGAAAAAAAGTTAATACTCAAAAAAAAAACAACCCAACTCAAATGGGAAGTCATTTGGGGCTGCTGTCAATTGCTAGCGGTAACTAGTGGCGGCTGCTGCCACAATGGCTTACAGTTTCAGTTTGTTCATGAATTATTTAAGAAATTAATTAACTAACAAGATAGAGTGGAGGGAGACAGAGAGAGAGAGAGAGAGAGTGGGAGATGGAAAATGAGGTGGTGGTAAGCTTATTTTAATGAGGCCCCGTTTGCGAAACATTACGTGCACTTTGCCTTTTAATAATGATAATGAATTTCATTGTTTAAGTTTAAATTTGTTTGTGTGTGTTTTTAAAGCCTCAAGAGCTGTGGCTAAGCCCAGCCCAATGTTAACTTGTTTACAATTTGGCCCCTACTCATTTTAAGAGCATTTACCTTTTTTTTGGTTATTTTTTTTCAGGGTAGCTTTTGGCTAAGGAGGCGTATACGCAATGTTTCAGACATTGCTATTGCCTCTAGCGGCTTTTTTCTGTGCACACACTGAGACAAGTATGAAATTGCTTTTCAATGGTGAGTGACTCTTAAATACCCCACTCAATCAATTTGAAGGAATATCTCTCTCTACATATCTGGCAAGCAGGACAAAAGGAATCACCCGCCCAGGCAATCGTGATGTGTCTTTAATATGGTTTTGTGCACAGCTATTTGATTAGCCATGTGTGTGTGTGAATGTGAGTGAGTGTACGGCGAAGTCCTGTGAACTGTAAACTTAAAGGACAATTATTTCCACTACTCAGATGTCCTAAGAAGGGCTATTCAATGGG